AAATATGAACCCAGTCTTCATAACAGCTTGTAGAAACTGCTTCGAGACAGAGTTAGATTTAATATGATTTTATTGACTTTTCTGTTTATTCAGCTGAAATACCAGAGAGTTTTTGGCATTAATTCAGGATTCAGGCCTAAATCATTAACTCTGATTTTCAGCACCTACATAATGTTTTCTGTTATTTTTTTTGACATGCTAATTGTCCAGGGAGATAGCTCAGTGGCATAAAATCTCCTGCCTGGCAAGCACAAGGCACTGAGTTCTATCCCTGGTACCAAAAAATGCTAATTAAGAGAAGGAAAAACTCAAATATTTACTTGCTTTAAAGTAATGTGCTGAACACTCTACTTGTATTAATTCGCTTCCATGCAGCACAGTACTGTAATTCATATTCTTATAACCAGTTTGCAGAGGAGCAGACTTTAATTTAGAGAGTCGAAGGGATTTGTCAGTATTTTAGAAAATGGTTCAGCAAAACTGATTCTAGTCAATTGTGGCTAATTCCAGAATGACTGTTCACTCTTTAATTTTCCAATAAAAACTTTGTAATGTGAGAGAGCTTTCCTTATACAATAGATTGTAGATTGCTGTTAGCTCACTGCTGTATTCCAAGAATGTAGTTCAGGGTCTATCATCAGTACTGCAGATCTCTGATGAACATCTGTTAAATTGGATTGAGTAGGCCGTTCCTGGTACATAAATGTAGAGAGATAGTACAAGACTGTGGCTTAGTTGTGGGACACATTCAATGCTAGTAAACGATGGTAGGCTTTGAGTCAAACTGCTTGGGTTTGAGTGCTGAATTAGCAACCTACCATCTGTTTAATTTGAGTAAGTTACTTAGACTTTCTGAGTTTCAAATTTCTCACTTTAAAATAAAGGTAATGGCTGGGATGTAGTTCAGAAGCAGGGCATGTGCTGAGCACACAAGGCCAGACGTTGAGCTTATAGCGCCACAGGAAGTAAGCAAATAAATAAATGGTAGTAATTGTACCCTCATGATTATTTATCTAGCTCACACTTATGGTGGTTAATAAACATATAATGAGGGCCAGTGAGCAGTACTACCTTTAATTTAAGTAGGTTCTAGATGCCTTTTAAACATATGAGGTGTGATTGAAACATACAGTGAATATTTAATTTAAAAATAAAAATATTACAGGGCAAGAGGTATTGCTATCAATCTCCTTTACCAACACCCCCAGCAACTGATCCCTTCATTCTTGCCGCTTTCTTGAGGACTTCTAACAGTCTTCTTTCTTGAGTGTCTTTTCATTTTTGCTCCAATATCCTGATTTGATTGAAAATATTTACAGAAATTGCTGCGGAATACAACCATAGTGATGGATGTTGCTCCAGTTTATTCACTGAGTCTGTCAACTCTGAGACTTCTCACTCATTCCAAATGTCAGCGTGACCATAGAGGTAAACAGTCGGAATCAATTAAGGGCATCCGGGCAACCCCGACAGCACCGCTAAAGACACTCATGAACGAAGACTTCAGAACTGCCTCAGGGGCAGTATTTTGAAGATGAGTGATGACAGTGTGTCTTACATTGTGATAGTTTTAAAATGTAAACATTCACCGTAAGTTTTGATCTCGTCTCACACACAATTCAGTTGCCTACTAATCCACCTTCCAACTGGAATTTAAGCTTCTTGACAGCAGGAACATTCGTGTTTCAGTTGTTGCTGCTCAAAGGCTGAGTGCTGGGTTCCCCTACATCATGTCCTGTGCTGGTGCAGATGTCAGTGCCCGCCTCATTACTCCAGTAGCCACATTTCGTGAGCGAACACTTGAACTGTAACAAGCTAGTATGACCAAGCAACTAAATTGTAGAATTTTATTTTGTTTTTGTTTATTTAAGTATAAATGGGAAATAGTACATTGTAAATTAAATGCAAATAGTAGATAGTGGAATATTATCTTAGAAGCTCTAGAATATTACATGGTACACAGTGCTTTCTCACTAAATATTTGTTAAATGGATAAATTTCCTTTTGGACTCAATGATTAAGAACCAAGACGCATGACTGCATATTTAATTCATTCATTAAAAATTAGCAATTAAATTATTTATTGAGTGATCCACTCATACTGGAAGATACATGAAGTTCTAATACATGATTCAGTTTCTGACTTTAATAAGTTTTTGAGTTCTGTTTGTTTTTGCCAACAGGTCAAGAACGATTTGGAAACATGACCAGGGTCTATTACCGAGAAGCAATGGGTGCATTCATTGTCTTCGATGTCACTAGGCCGGCCACATTTGAAGCAGTGGCAAAGTGGAAAAATGATTTGGACTCAAAGTTAACTCTCCCAAATGGCAAACCAGTTTCCGTGGTTTTACTGGCTAACAAGTGTGACCAGGGGAAGGATGTGCTCATGAACAACGGCCTCAAGATGGACCAGTTCTGCAAGGAGCATGGATTTGTAGGATGGTTTGAAACCTCAGCAAAGGTAATGTGGCTTAAAGGAAAAGCTCTTAGGCAAGATTCACAGAGGCAGTGGCAGAGCCATTGTCACTATAGCCACGCGTACCTGTCCCTCGCTTTAGAGTTCCCAAGGTGGTTTCCATTCTTTCTCATCTCTACGGTATGAAAGAGCAGGGCGGGAATTATTATCCACAATTTAAGATGGTTAGGTCCAAGGGATTAAACCCACTTATACACGGTTACAGTGATAGTCGAGAGCTCCATCCAGTTTTTTGAGCGCTATCTATGTGCCAGGTGTGTTCTACATACATGTTTGCCTTTAGTTCTCCCCACATGTCTGTTTGGTATTATTTTATAGTAAGTGAAGGAAATGTATCATATATTTTGTCATTTCCTTTAACTCAGAAATGTATACCATGAACATTCAAAATGTTCACCTAGATGTCAGGAATTGTACTTCATTGTAAAAAAGAAAAGAGAGCAGTAATAGAGGATTTTAACAATGGGAGCCTGGAATGGTGGGGTGGGCAAAAGCAGCGTGTGGAGAAGGCAGCTGCTGCTGCTCACCCTTCCTGGAGGCAGAGAAGTGGATGGAGCGGGGACGGGGCGGAGGCCGCGGCTGGCCTGAGGTGTGCCACGTGCTTCCTCATATGCCTCACACACATCTGGTTGGTTAAGTGCCTCGTTTTGGTGCTACTTCCTTTTGACTTTGCTTCTCTTTTAAAAAGAAATCACAGTAGCAGAGGGAAAACTTCCATGCTCAAGTTTTAATTAATTTTATTTTTTGATTGACAAGTAATACACATAGAGGTGGAACTAATTATGATGCTTTAATTCATGTATACATTGGGTAATGACCCAAGGTAATGGCCATGCCTACCACTTTGCTTCAGTGCAGTTTCAAGATTTTATGTGCAGTAAATATTGTTTTATATTATTAACATTGTAATCTGTATAGTTGTATATCATAATTATTTTATTAATTTGTGCAGTATGATTTTTTGCGTATCTGTGGAGCACAGTCTCTGTCCTGACATTCAGCTGTGATGAGACAGGTGCTGTCTCATTACTTAGTGGAATTCATACTAAAGCCTTGTTGTAAACCTTTGTGGACATCATTAGGAAATGGTTTGGAAATATCATTCGTGTGGGGAATATCCAAAATCAGCTGAGAATGTAGCGGTGTGACTATAGATATTGGTAATGCATTAGGTATTTAAAAAGCAATGGAAGAAATGCTTTGTGAAATTTTCAAACAATGAATATTTGAGGAAATACGTACATTTACTCAAATCTAAATATTACATGTGTTTCAGGGGGGAAGTGGTGAGGCTTTGTCTCAGTGTAGTGGCTATAAGGGTTGGGCAAAAAACCTGCCTGAGAACATGATTAACTATTTGTTTTCATTTATGTATTTGGTACAGGGTCTCACTACACAGCTCGGACTCTTAGTGATTATTCTCTTTTCAGCCTCCCCAGCACTGGGATTGTAGTTTCTGGCACAGCATGCTCGGGATCGGGGCCTGCATGGCAGATGGTACCGGGGATTGAACCCTGGTCCCTGCACTTGCCTAAGCAGGTGCTTTAGTCACGCTTTAGTCGGCTGAGCTATCTTACTGGCCCCCAATAACTTTTGAAAATAAAAAATTAAGCAGTTCTTTGGTTCCCAGATTCTTATTTTCTTTCTGAATTTCCAACGTGTTTTCCCTCCTTTTCCTTTTTAAAGTGCTACGTTTTCCTTATTTCTCAAGATTCTTCTATCGTCTCCTCTTTCTTGTATATCACTGAGCCTTTTTAGTATGAAGGATTTACTGCTGTCAAGGAACACAGGTAAAGGCAAGCTCAGATAGGATTAAGTGGCAGACATTTAACAAATATGACACTTTCTAATAGTCTGATTCTATTTCTTGGCTCTTAGCCTGGATTTTTCATTCGAATCCCAAGAGGTAGGTGAGTTTACCTATTACATCTCTCTTTATCTTAGCCACATACTCAACTTCACAGCTTCTTCATTTCCTTAAATTCCTTTCAGTCTGTCTCTCTGTGTCAGAATGCTATAGTCATGGAGGAGACAGAGATTTAAAGAATGCCTTTTCTCAGTTGATTGCTTTATATTTTAAGGAAAATCTAGACTGAATGACTTTTAAGGGGAAGATGGTCTTCTGTAGTTTATTCATTTAATAAATATCACTGGCTATCCCTTATGTGCCCAGCAAGTATTGTAGGCACTGAGAATAGGGACACAAACACACAGAATCTTGTCATGAACTGTAACAACACAAGTAAAATGTACAGTGTGTTCATGTTAATTAAGTGATAAAGAAAGAAAAGAGAAAAAGAAGGGGGGCTGCAAATTATGGGGAGAGCTTCAATGGCTTGTGGGTCTAAGAACTTTCTTAACATTTTTCCCCATTTTTCATTTCCATTCTTTGTTCAGTCATAATGTCAAATTTTATATGTTCAAGGACATGATGCTCATTAGCTTAAGGCCTGCTAGCCTCCAAACTCAGGTACTGATTTCTAATCCTTCAAGTCCTCACAAGTGTGATCTTTGAAAGAGAACTTTGTACAGCATGGGAGATGAATATGGAATTTAACAAACTAACATGAGCAAGACAGTTCAAGAGCTCATAGTGAAAGGTAAAGCCCACATGAAGCATCTTCTTTACCCCTCAAAACATACTAACAATTAGGGGTCAATGAGATAGCTCAGCAAACTAAGCTTCTAACTTGCTTAGGTAAGCGCAGGGACCAGGGCTCGGATCCCTGTCCCACATACCACGCTGGCCCTGGCCCCAGGGTGCGCTGAGCCAGGCAACTGAGTCTAGGCATGGTGGCACATGCCTGCAATCTCAGTGCTGGGGA